GGCCGGGTGAGAGCTGCTGGCGTGCGGAGCCACGGTTTCGGTTGGCTTTTTGGTCTCGTTGAACTTTTCTTAACTTGTCGCGGTGCTGGGCTCCGGGGCCTGTTTCGGGGTCTCCTCACGACGCCGGTCTCGCGTGGGCCTGACAGAGTTTGGGGGCCCGGCCTCGCCCGCTGAGCGGGATGGGAGGTGCGGATTGGCGAGTCGGCTGGGTGGGTCTCCGGCCCGACAGAAGGGAGACCCCGAGTAGGGGGACCCCCAGCCGGCGTGGACGCTGCTCGTCCTGCTCGCTGCCCCGGCTCGAGTCTTCGCCGCCGGCGGCAGGTGGGCGCTGGGTCTAGGGAGAGCAGCATAGCCAAGGGGTTCAGGTGAGGTGTTTCAGAAACTTTAGCAAAAAGGGGAGGTTAAAACGTCACTCCCTTCGGTATTGCCAAACTGCAGTCTGCCCAATTGTTTTTTTTTTTTTAATAAATCACCTTTATTTTTACTTATTTTTTATTAGTACAGTGCATATTTGCAGCACATAATGATTATATTCATCATGGGGACGAACTGAGTTTTAGATTTGACGTCTACCTCTTCCATTTTCTTCTTTTCTCTGCTATGGTTTCTTAAGGTATAGAAGGATAGAATGGTTGAGTTGTGGGGTATGTTACTCTGTAACATTTGAACTCCTAGATATAAAGTGCCATACTATTGATTTCTTTAGAATATTTATAATCCGTGGATTGCTTTTGTAATTAAAATATTCGGAATCACACTGCAGGTAGGCAGCTCGTAGAGTTGTGTTTTCCCAGTAATGTAAAAAAAAAAAGCCTGGAAAATATTGATAATTAACAAAATGCCATTTACCGGTTTAATATTTTGATGTGTAAGTTCTTGGTTCTTTTTATTAGCTATATTAGCTCTTGCCTGTGAGAGCTGAGACTTAAGGGGATTTGCTTTTGATCATCTCTTTTATTTTGGTAATTTTTGCTAATGACTGAGTTACCTTCAAAAACGAGGAAGAAAGCTGTAATAAAATTTTATTTCTTTTTTAACCTCCCAAGAATATTGTTTTTTACAATGTCTTAAATTTTACCTCTTTCAATTGAATTATAATTGTGTATTTATGAACAAAACTAATAAACTGAGAGATTGATTCAGGTTGAGAGAAAATCCGTTTGAGATTTTTATAGGACATCTGGAAAAGCTATCTAGTTCACAAATTTATTGGTTTTAGGTTTTTTCTGAAGTCAGGCTCAGACACAGCAGTGGATTTGTGATAGTTAATGCTGTGGTAGTTAAGTCATTAAAATAAATGTAGAATAAGAAAAGAGGAAGACTAAAGATGGTAAACTCTAATATTTGAGTGATGGATGGGTAGAGACTGTCAAGGACACACGGGGAGTATTTTCAAAAAAGAGGAGGAAGGCTGAGAGAGAGGGGAGGCCTAGAAGTCAGAAGAGGACAGAAGTCTGGGGTGTCACATGAGTGGCTTGGGAAGTTAGGAAATGGTCAAAAGTCTGTTGGCTTTGATAGTTAGGAAGGCGTCATTGACTTCAGCAAACATAATTTAAGTAGAATGGTAAAGGAAGAAGCCAATGATTTTGAAGTGTTAATAGAGGATTAAGAAATAAAGATAGTGAGTGGAGAATCCATATTTTGTGAAGCAAAGGTTAGAAGGAGATGACAGCATAGTTGAGGGGAATTTATAGTCAGATTGGAAAGAAAATAGACTGTAAAATAGCCATATGTTAAAGTATATCATTTCACATAACTAGTCCTCTCTTATAGTTAAGTAGCAGAGGCAGAGAAGCAAGTAGCTGAGCATATTGAATAACACTGTATTCATAATAAAGTATTTCATGTCCCCCATCCAAATTATGAATACTATTTTAGTAGTATGTTGGTATATTGGGTTATCAGTGTTTAAATCACAAATATTAACTGTGTTGGGTTGATTCACCCAGCGTGCTTTTAACTCATTTGATGCATGTAATTCAATTATTCCTTTAAAACTCTTGTAGAAATCAGATATTTTGACCAAAGCAGAATTGAGACTTATATCAGTTTAGGCCTTTCTATCAATTATTATCCATTCAAGGGAAAATGTTCTTAGTTTAAAATTTCTGTATGAGTTTTGTTTCAGTCTTCATTAATTAAAGGTTTTATTTGATTCTGGAATTCAGACAATTAGTTAATGAATGCATTGCTTACGAATATGAAAAGAATGGTTAAAATGGAGAAGTCTAACTACCAAGTATTGTCTGGGCTATGGAGCTGCTAGAAATCTCATACTCTGCCTTTGAAAATGTAAATTGGGCAGTCAGTTTGAAAACATTTTGGCAGTGTCTAAAGTGAACCATGTACATAAACAATGTCCAGACATATACTCAACAAAAATCTAGAAAATGCAAATTAATCTAATATATAGAACACATCAGTGATTAGTTGGAAATAAGGACAAGAGAAGATGAGAAGAATTGATTAAAAGAACATGAAGCAACTTTAGGGTATGATGGATATATTCATTTCATTGTGATGTTGCTTTCACTAATATATACATAGGACTCCATTTTATATTTTAAAGACATGTAATTTATGATAAGGGTGAAAGATTTAAATAAAAATAGAATGGAAGAAATCACATCATTTAAGTGTACTTACCTCCTTTAAATATTGTAATTATTTCATCATGATGATGAGATTAAGAATAATCTTTATTTTCTTCATATTTTATACCAAGCTGTTTACTTTTCAATTGAGAAATTATTTCATATGTGGAAAACCGTACATCTGACATAGCTATAAAGAATACAAATAAATGCCCTATACTCACATCATGCTTAAAAAATAGTATATTATTATATATATTGATAATAAGTATATCAGTATTTTTAAATTGCCCTAGGCATTCCCCCCGACTATATCTTTTTTTCCACTTTCCTTGATTTTCTATAGTTTTTCAACATACATATACATTCCTAAACAATGTATTGTTTAGTTTTGTCTATTTTGGAGTGCTCTTTAAAAAAACAGTATACCGTATGATTTTTATGACTTTTTTACACATTATATTTGTTATATTCTTCCACATTGGTGTAGAACTTTTTATTCCTTTATATCATTCTGTCTTACAGCTTTTACCATTATCATCCTGTAAATGGATGTTTAAAATATTTTCAAGCTTTTTTCTTTTTAAAAAATTTTATTTTTTTCCATTAAAAGCTATCTTGTTATGACCCCTCCAATCCATGTTTCATTGTATCTATGTGCAAGAATTTCCTAGGCTTTTTAAATCTAGGAACAGAGTTGTGGGTCTTCAGTTTTTCTAGATAACACTGAATTGTTTTATAAACTGGTTGTACCAATTACAACAAAGGTTGTACCTTTACAAGCAGTAAGTAATCACTCTGTCCTTTTCTTGTCAACATGTAAGACATTTATTTGTACATTTGTAGTTACTGAGGTTTAATTTTCAATTGTTAATTACTGATGTAAAACCTTTCATAGGTCCTCTTTAAGGGATGCCTATTTAGATCTTTTTTCCTACTTTTTATTAATTTTTTGGCTCTAAACATTAATTTCTGGAAGTTCTTTATATGCTTTAGAAACAAATGTCTTATTAGTTATACACGTGGCAAATACCTTCTCAGTAGTCAGCTTTGCTTTCTTTAAAATGTCTTAATAAACACATTCTGTCTTTAAAGTAGCTATGTCAACTTTTTCCTTTATGACTTGTAGTTTTGTTTTTTTTCTTTTTTAATATTTATCTTTATGAGTACACATTTGCAGAACACAACGATTACATCTATGGTGCATGACTTGTACTTTTGGCATCTTGTTTAACAAATCTTTCCTTTCTCTAACATTATAAAAATATAGGCTAATGTTTTCTGCCAAAGCTTTAAAATGTTGTTTTCCCTGGGGATATATGGAAAAATCCCTGTAGCTTTTCAGTTTTGCTGTGAACCTAAAACTCCTCTTAAAAGAGTCTCTTAAAATAATCTTTCATATTTATATCCTTAATCCATACACAATTGTTTTTTGTGTGTTATGAAATAAGAATTCACAGTGTCTTTTCTATTCTTTATGTGGCTAATCAGTTTTTCCCAGGATCGTTTATTGAATAGTCTGCTTTTCATTCCTATATTTATCTGTGTGTATCATATGTTGAGTTTCCATATATCTGTGAATATGTTTCAGAGCTGTTCTTTCTCTAACCCAATTATCCTTATGCCACAGACTTATTTGATTTAATTGTATAATAAACCTGATACCCACTCATGCATCTTTTAAAACTAAATTTCTCAAATTGTCTGATTTTTCTTTTTTGGTTTTATTTTTAAATTTTTATTAGTACATGTTTGCAGTACATAATGTTTACATTCATTGTGGGGAATTGGTACACGTACATAACACATCTCATTTTTTTTCCCTTTCCACTCTCCCACCTTTTTAAAGTTTTTTTGCTAGCATCAGATTCATTTATTTCTAAGTCATTATAAAGTTTATTATCATTCATACAGATTAACAGCCAGACTGTAACAGGCCAAAAAACACATAAAATACATAAGACAATTACACTAAATCAAGATATACTTTTAAATACATCGGTCCTTACTGGGTTATAACTTTTCTCTCTTTTTTTCATATTACCTATATCTTATTTTGTACTTTATTTATATATTGAGTTTCTCATATAAAAGAAACCATACAATATTTAAGCTTGTGTGTCTGATTTACTTCACTTAACATTATGGCCTCAAGGGGCATCTATTTTCCTACAAATGAGTCAAGTTTATCCTTCCTTATTGCAGAGTAGTACTCCGTTGTGTATAAATACATTTTCTTTATTAAGCGATATGTTGGTAGACATATAAGTTGCTTCATGGGCTGGGGATTTAGCTCAGTGGTTCTGCCGCCTGCCTTGCAAGCACAAGGAACTGAGTTCAATCCCTGGTACCAAAAAAAAAAAAGTTGCCTCAAATATTTAGGTATTGTTAATTGTGCTGCTATAAACATGGGTATGCATACATCACTGTGGTGTGATGCCTTTAACTCTTTGGGGAATTAGCTGAGTCAAATGGAATCTCTGTTTTTTAGTTTTTTAAGAAATTTTTATATTGATTTTTGTTGTGGTTGGTTGTCAGGTAGTTCTTTTAAAAATGGCTTGCCAGTTAAAAATATTCCAGGTCCTTTTTTCTTCAAACAAAGAATTTTGAAGAAATAAGGAGTGAAGGAGTAAGAAAAGAACTAGTTCTGTAGAGCAAACTTGGGCTGAACAAAAAAAAAGAAAATGATAAAAAGCAAATATAAACATACATGCTGCATCTAGAGTGGGCTACTGTGAAGAGTCATGATAGCAGGCTCCTCTTGGCATCTGGTTTCCTTTATTCTGCTCACATCCTGTGGGAGCTCACAAGAAGCTCTACATATAGGGTCTTGAGAGCCATCAGGCCCACCCTGGGATCTTACATTTGACAAGTCGCTTACATTTCTTCATCCAGCTTTGCCACACCCTACCTCCTATATCATTTGTACCAGTTTAGAACCACCATCATCAAGAAACCAACCAGTAACGGGGCTGGGGATTTAGGTCACAGGTGCCACCGCCTGCTTCGCAAGTGCAAGGTTCAGAGTTTGATCCTTGATACCAAAAAAGAAAGAAAGAAAGAAAAAGAGAAGGCAACTAATAACAAATGTTGGAGAGGCTGCAGGGATGGGGAGTGATAAACTGGTAATTTTTAATTCTTAAAAGTAAACTTTTGCTGGGCTTAGTATAATCTGAGCACACCTGTAATCTGAGCATAAGGAAGGCTGAGGCAAGAGGATTTGGGCAAGTTTGAGGTCAGCATGGGCTACATAGTGAGTTCAAGTTCAACCTGAACTGCATAACAAGACACAGTCTCAAAAAACAAAAAAATGAATGAATGAATGAATGTAAACTTTTACTTGGATTATAATATAATCACCTGAGGTCATAAATAATGTTGATGCTACACTGATATAAAGTTTATTGACCCGTCTTTAGTTTTTACGACTCTAGTCCTAACACATGAGAGATAATTTTAACTTGACAAGTAAATATCAGATTTTCATTTTTGGAATAAAGTAAGAAGTATTTGGAGCAGCCTTTTTACTGAAAACAGCTAAGAATGCTGTATTTTTTAAAATGTCAATTATGTATATTTTAAAAACAACTTCATGCCAAAATTTAAGGAAAAACTGAAAATATGACAGAGAAAAGGAGCTTTTAAATCCTGTTTGCTCTGAGAGTATTTGCTAAACTGAGGGAACTTGTTAGTAGTTGGAAGTCAACCCAGGGCTCATTCAAGGGAAGCTAACGAGAATTTCTGCCCCTAATTCTGGAATCTCAAAGGGCTATTTAGACATGAAAAGGGTGAAAACTCACTCTACTTTTTTTTTGGTACAGGGATCAAACTTGGGACCTTGTGCTTGGGAGGCAGGCAGCAGAACCACTAAGCTAAATCCCCAGCCCTCATTCTACTTTTAAACAATTTCAAGGATTGTAAAATGTTGGGAGGCTGTCCCTGGGAGTGACCACTAAATAGATCATAGAAGAAAGTTCACGTCACTTTGATGGTCGAAACATAACTTCAAAATGTGATTTTTTTAAAATAATTTTTTTATGACTTAAAGTTTATCTTTTAAAAAGATTACTTTTTAATGTTGCAGTTATAGGACTGTATGAAGAAGCGACATATCTCCTTTAAATCATGCCTTTATAAAATGATTTTTAAAGGTATAATTCAACATGAAATTCACCATTTTAAATTATAGGAGTCAGTGGTTTTTCATATATTCATGGCATTGTACAGTCAAGACTAATTCAAGAACAATCTTGCTCTCCTCCCCACACAAAGAAACCTTGTATCTGTCAGAAAGGTCCCATTTTCTCCTTTCCCTTTTTAGCCTGTGGCAACCACTAATATTTAATTTGAATTTGCCTTTTCTGAGGATTTCTTTAAATGGAATCATATAACAAAGTTTATCCGTGTTGTAGCAAGAATTAGCACTTCATTTCCTTTTAGCCATTGAATAATATCCCATTGTATGCGCATAGTATATACACTGCATTTTGTGTTTTCACTTTTTAAAAAATAGTTTATTTTTTAGACAGATAACCAAGTACACAAGGAAATAAGGACGTGAGGAATAACCTATAGAAATAATAAATAATTAGAAATAACCTACAAAAGCTTGAATTACTCATCATAGGTTATTAAAATAGCAATGCTATACTACATTTAAGTAAAGTTTGTGTTACCTTAAGACACTAAATGTGGTAATTTGTTACAGTAGCAACAGGAAACTAATACAGTAGTCAATTTATTAGGAGAAAATGGAGATTATAAGCATTCCAAAGGAAGGCATCACAGGAAATAAACAGGACAGGTAGAACAAATAGCTCAAGACAAAGTGGCAGTTTTAAAAACACCAATTAAAGAAAAAAAGTTAATCTGGACTAAAATATTTCAACTTAATGCTGTTTATGAGACATCTGAAATATGTAAAGTTTGGTAAAATTAAAACTACACAGAAAAAGATATCCTATATAAATACTATATAAAAGAAAGCTGTATAGTTGTATGACTGTCAAACAAAATGAATTTTAGTTTAACAGTATTTTTATAGATAAATCACCACACTTATAAAAGGTTTAAGTCACCAATAAGTTATAACAGCTTTAAGTTTATATGAATAGACTAAATACAGGAATACATAAATACAAAGTACATATATAACACTAAGAAAACCAACTGGGAAAGGTGGGTTTGGATTCATTTCTCATATTGGACACCAAGATAACTATATAGAAAATAACAGCATACTAAACACTAGAAGAAAACACAAGTAAATTATTTATGACTAATATAAGGGAAAAACTTTACTATGACAGTCCAGAAATAAAAAGTAAAAGCATAGGGCTGGGGATTTAGCTCAGTGGCTCGGTGGCCTGCCTTGCAAGTACAAGGACCCGAGTTCAATCCCCGGTACCAAAAATAAAATAAAATAAAAATAAAAGCATAAATGAGTATGACTACATATGTATGTGTATATGTTCATGTTTACATATTCATAATACTCCAAAATTTTGTACCAACATAATGCCCCAAATGAAAAGTTCCATACCATAAAAAAACTTTCATGAACAAAAAGGTGCATATGAAACAAATTAATTCCATGTGTAGACTTGGTTTCTACCCCTAAGATATCCTATTACATATATGTAAATATTCCAAAAGTTGAAAAAACAAAAAAATTCTGAATACTTATAGTCCAAGAATTTTAGATAATGGATAGCCTGTCTGCATATATATATGTAGTGTATGTATACTGTGTATTTGTATATCTATAAGAATACACATTTTTGCATAGCAGAAAATATAATAAAGTAAAAAGACAAAGGACAAAGTAGAATAATGTTTGCCACCTATATGATGAACATGAGTTAATCTTCAAAGTCTATAAAGAGCTTCTAAAACTAGAAAAGAAAAAACCAACAGATTATAAAAAAAAAATGAGCAGGATATAATTAGTGAAGAATACATAGGAATAAATATAGAATAAACATAAACTGTTTTCATAACCTTATATGAAAAGGTGCCCAACCTCACTTATAATAAGAGAGATGCAAATTAAAACAACAGAAGATAGGGCCAGGGATTTAGCTCAGTGGTGCTGCTGCCTGCCTCGCAAGTGCAAGGTCCCAAGCTTGATCGCAGGTACAAAAAAAAAAAAAAAAAAAAAAAAAAAAAAAAAAACGCACACAGAAGATAATCATTTCTTTCCTATCACACTGTCAAAAGTCCAGTATTTAGACATTTTGTTGGTGAGAGAACTAAGTGTTCTCATGGTTCAAGAGATGGGGAAATTAGGGAAGGATAGGGGAAATACAAAGAGTTAAGATGAGTTATGTACATGTACCAACTCCCCATGATGAATGTGATCATTATATCCTACAAACGTACTAATAAAAGTACGCTTTAAAAAAAAAAAGTAAGGGCTCTTATATATTGCTATTCGGAATGCAAAATGATATCACTTCAGAGAAGTTTAGCGATACAAATATTCATATAACTATCTTTTGACCCACTAGCTCTGTATTTGACAGATATGTACTGGGAAATATCTAAGAAATATTTGTGCATAGAACTACTGTGGTACTATTTCTGATAGCAAAAGATGAGACAATTCAGATTTTCATCTTAATTTCAACTAAACAACTATTGAAAAATTGAAGCCACGGGGAAAATGTGAACATTCAGTAGTTGTTCAATTTTTTATGTGATAATGATATTTTGGCTCTGCTTTTTTGGGAAAAAAAAGTACCTTCCAAAAATATTTGGTATGTTATAATCCATTACAGATACTGTTTGTTTTAATGCTTGAAGTGATCCGTATTCAACCAGCCAGAGCCTCTTGATGTTAACTTCCTCCCACTGCATCTATTAAAGATTATTACTTAAGTGTTTATGGTTAAAATTACAAGATTGGAATTTATTTAAAAAAAAAAACCAAAAGACAGGGTAAATGAGAAGGTCAAAATGAAATAAGATTTGCCCTAAGTTGATAATTGTTTAATCTGGGTAATGTGGGTTTTGTTGCTCTGTCTTCTTTTGCATGTTTTTCTCCATTTAAAAAAATATATGGAAAAAAATATATGGAGCTTAAATAGGCATAAATGAAGAGAATGCATTTGGAACAAAGACATTAAGACCAAGGTCAAAAATTGGACATGAAGGTCTTATAGCAATTTTATGGTGATTGTAAATATAAAACACTCCCTTTATTTGCATGGTGTCTTATTTGTGTGTGTGCTTCAGATACAGAGTTCAAGATATACTTTTTTGTCAATGTAATTCTAAGGATCAAAGGAACTCATAAAACATACAGTTATTTGTTTATTGGCCCCAAGTATAAAGGCTCTGAGTACTAAAATAATTGATCTGAAAGAAGTGAAAATTTTCTCACAGTTTATATGAGTGCTATATATACTCTTTCAAATTTTGCTTGGGCATATATTGAGATATTTCAAGTATGAAAAATTGAGAATGGAATGGGATCTTCCTTTTTTTGAGTTTTAACATTGAAATCATTCATTTACTGATTTTTGAGCATGCCATTTAAGTAACATAAAGATCCTAAGTTATACAAAATTATATGAGAAGAAAAATTTATCTTTATCTTAAATATTTTTGCTTCAGATCCCTCATTAAGTCTTAGATAATATGATTTAAAGTGATATCTAATGGTATTAAGTATGACAACTTTAACTTGCTTTCTATTCTACCAACAGATTAATAATAAAAACTGGAAGTTTGTGTCTTTTGTTGAATATTGGAAATTGAATGTAATGGCAGCAGAATTTATAAAGAGTTGCTGTAGAGGATGTTTCTATAGTGAAACAGAAACGCACAAGCGTGAGTTGTTTTAATTTCAATCATCATTTACTTTGTGCTTTCTTTGTGGTATTTTGTAATATAGAGATAAATTAAGAATGTTTTCTAATATTGTGGAAGAGGCAGAAACAGAAGGCACACCGAGTAAGTATTCCAGAACTCCAATAACTCTGAAGCACAGTGGAAAGAGGAATGAATTCAACTCAGGAGACATTCTGAACATCCAAGAAGGTGGCATTTGCCATGGAATCCCAGACAGTATTTAGCAAGCTGAGTGGGAACAAGTAGTAAGAGAATGTGCTATAACTAGACATAGGAACAAGTAGTAAGAGAATGTACAATTTCTCATGACAGGTAGGTGGAATGATATAGGAAGAAGCAGGGAGAGAAGTGTGTTTTGGGGGACGGCATATTCTAACAAATGTTTTAATATAAATAAAAATAATATCCAATTTATGAGCTGTACATTAAAATATGCCTTTTATGAATAAATCACCAATAGGGAAGAGAACCATAATTTTTAGGGCCTTAAAGACCCTTGAAGAATTCTCTTTCTATTGTGTGGTTTCATATCTTTTCAGTGTTGACTGGAGCTTTATTTTTCTCTGGCTCTTTCTTGCATTTCTTAGTCTAGTTTTTTTCTTAGTCTAGTTTTGTTAGTGTAATTCTAAGGATCAAAAGGACTTTCTAGTATATTTGAGTATGAAGATATTTCAGTCCACTCTTCTGGTACCAGTAAAACAATACCACTAGGTATTACAGATTGGGTAGGTTTTAACAAAAAGAGATTTATTTTGGCTCGTGGTTCTGGAGGTCCAAGGTCAAGGTGCTGTATCTAATGATGGCCTTCTTGTTGGCAGACTCCCCAGCTACTAGAGGACATCACAGGGCAAGAGAAAGTCAATGTGTGAATCCTGGTCTGTCTCCTGCTTATAAAAGCCACCAGCATTTAATCAAGGGGGTTCCAACCTGATGATCTTATGTAATCCTAATCACCTCCCAAAGGCACCACTTCTCAACGCTGTTTGTTAAATTTCTACCCCCTTATGGCCTCACAATAGGAATTAAGCATTAACATATGAACTCTTGGGAGGGAGACTCAAACCATATCCAATCCATAGCAGAAGGCTCTTTTTTACATTAAAAAATCCAAAAATTCTAGAGCTGGATAAAATGGGTTACAGAAGCCAAGGCAGGGAGAGTTGCTATTATAATATATGTCTAAAGTAAGCATGTAATTTATTTTGGTTTTTTGGGTAGAGATTTTTGTAGTCTTGGATACTTTTGGCTTCTTCGAATGGGTATATGTATTTAAGACTCATGTTACTGACTAGTACTAACGAGAATTTCTTTGTTGATACTATTTTTAAATGACTAGATTTTTACTTGAAAACATTGTGAAATTAGCTACAAAATAAACTTGTTTCCTTCAAGGAACTCTTTAAAAACTGCTTTTACCATTATGATATGATAATGTACTTTGGCAATAACGTATTGATCAAACATTAGCTGGCCAACATTAATCTTGGTCCTAAAAGCGCTTGTCGGGACCTAAAAGTAGTTTATATATCAAGAATTTCTTCTAAAATGATTAAGTATCAAAGTAGTCTAGATTCAGGTTATATGTAGTCAATATGCATATTTGTGACTTTTTTCTGTTGTGTTTTTTTATATATGCAGTATCTATGGAAAAAGACCTTAAAGCCGCAATATCAAATACACAAAATACCACTGTGTTCATACCTCCATTGACTTCTGTTTCTGTAAAGTCTCAAGTTGGCTGTAGTGAGGATTATTTGCTTTCTAAATTACCATCTGATGGGAAAGAAGTGCCATTTATGGTGCCCAAGTTTAGGTTATCTTATATTCAGCCCAGGACACAAGGAACTCCTTCACATCTGGAAGAACTTGAAGGTAAACAGTAAAATGGCAGGGTTTAGAAACTAACATGAAACATTTAAATGGTACTATTGCTATTATTTTGTTCTTTTATATTTTTAATACAAAATTTATGTAAAAACTTTTAAGTTTTGCTTTTCGTATGTTTTGCTTTTTCTATAGAAGAACTTACTGTATAGTAATTTTGAAAATTCACATGCCCGGTACCCAAAAAAAAGTTTTAAAAAATCATTATGTAATCTGGTCACAGTGTAACGTATTTGTGGAGCTCAATAGTCTGTTCATAGTTTTCTTTTATAGAAATAAATCTTACACACACTAAGCTGCCTAAGTGAATATTTGTTCAATTTGTGTATATTTGTTGAATTTCAGAAATATATTTATTGAATATTGACAAATGTATGCAAAAGTATATTCCAAACTTTTAACAAAACCTAGAATATTTGTCCCAACTATTTTTTTCTACTTTATTCTGTTCATCTTCTTAAGGATTTTTCAGACTGTTCCTTTTTTGTTTTGTTTTCCTCTAATCTTTTCTTTTCTTTAGATTAGATAGTGTTGATCTGTTTTTACCTCTGTTATTTCTATCCTGGGGTTAAGCCTATCCAGTGAATGTTTTATTTTAGACATTGCATTTTCAATTCTAGACTTTATATTTCGTTCTTTTTATAGTTTTTACATCTTCTGTAATTTCCTAAATTTATATGATTGTAAGCCATTTTTTAATGTCTTTGAGCTTTAAAATCTTTGCTAATTTCAACATATGGGTTGTCTAGATTTGGATTCTGTGGGTTAATTTTTTCTTGAGATAGGCTACATTTTTCAATTACTTTGTGTATATGAAGTAATTTCAGATTATATTCTGAACATTGAATGTTACATGTTGTGGATAATGTAGATTTGGGAATATTAATCTGAGAAGTTTGTTCTCCTTTATCTTTCTTGCCCTCTCCATCCCTCCTTCTTGTCTTCTCTTCCACCAGACATGTAACTTAGTCAATTTAGACTATTATTTCTTTCTTGAGTATAAGCTCTTGGCTAGTGGTTCAGCGATCTGCCAGATGTTTGAGCAGACTTCATAGAGTTTGGGACTGTCTCCAGAATTCCCACCTTTCTTTCCAGCAACATTGGTTTCCTGGAGTCCTACCCTCTGGTTTTCTGTAAATTTTCTATTGGAGGTCATTTTCCCTCCTCACCCATGGAATTGGAAATTGAACACAGGGCCTTTTCACTGAGCTGTATATCCCTAGGCCTGCCTCCTTTCCTTTCCTTTCCTTTCCTTTCCATTCATTCTTTTCCTCCCTCCTTCCATCCATCCCTCTCTCTCCTCCTTCCTTCTTTCCCTTCTTTCATTTTGAGACATGTTCTCACCAGGTTGCCCAGGCTGGGCTTGAATTTGCAATCCTCCTGACTCATCCTCCCAGAATGCTGAGATTACAGGTATGTGCCACCATGCCTAACTATAGGTGTTTTATACATCCTGTGTGGTGCCATCTTTGGCCTAGACTCAGACTAAAAGTCATCATGAACACATAACTTACTTTGTGCCATTACCTTTTTTTGAAGTGCTATCTATCCAAAATTTCCACTATTTTTCTTTATTCTTCAGGCCTTTGTTTTATTTTGTTTGCTCTAGAGTTTATTATTATCTGTAAGAGAGTTGGATCTGGCCAGGGATTTAGCTCAGCGGTTCGGTGGCCTGCCTTGCAAGCGCAAGAACCCAAGTTCAATCCCTGGTACCCCCCACCACAAAAAAGAAAGAAAGAAAGAAAGAGTTGGGTCTGATAGGAGTGACTTTTTTTTTAAAGAAGGAAAAATGAATCCCATTCCTGCCTGTTATCTTATTTTGTACATGTCAAGTGTCTCTCAAATGGTTTCTCTTAAAAGGGTACCCTGATCAATTTCTTTCATAGTTATTAGCAACTGTGTTAGTTACTTTTCTCTCGTTGCTGAGACAAACTACCTGACACTCAAAGTTAAAGGAGAAAGGGTTTATTTAGCTCAGAGTTTATAGAGGTTTTAGTCCTTAATTGCCTGGCTCCAAGGAAGGGTGGCATATGGCAGAGGGGTATCACAAAGGAGAAACAGTTCATGGGGCTCACATGGTAGCAAAAGCAATAAGGAAACCTTAACAGCATCTTTCTGCCCCTTTTATTTTATCCAGACTACCAAACCAGTCAGTATATTGGTTTAGTAATCATAAGCCCTTAATCCTAGCACCACACACTTCAGATTCAGCCACCTCTGAAAAAGCCACCTATGACTACCTAAGGCTTTGAGGGGGGACATCAAGATCCAAACCATAACAGCAACATTGGAATTAAACTGTACAGTCTTGTAATCTCTTTAGTCACATCATATAATAGGAATATATTCATGGCTTCTTAATGACTCCATAATATTTCCGCATATAGATGTTACACCATCATTTAATAAAAATTTTATTATAAGCCATATGGAGTATTTATATATTATTTGCATAATCAGGTAAGTGAGTTGAGAGATAGATTAACAAATGAAAATATTTTAAGATCATGATACAGTGTATTTACCATTGTTATTCTTTAATTATTTTTGTTATGAGAAATATTTTCATAGAATGGCTTTTATATTTTCTTTATCAATGTGTACTAGTAATACATGAAAATAAAAATTAAAAATTTTTCAAATAAAAATAAGATAACTCTACTGAGCAATATGTGATAGTTTTAATTTGCATTCACTAGAAAACAAATTGCATTTTGAGTTGAATGAAAAATTGCTTACAGGCTTAAGAGTAGAGCAAAACTATTTAATGTATATTTTTGGGAAAAAATATTTAATTAAATTTAAGAAAGTGCTTTTGACACCTAATCATAGAAATCACTTCTATGCTTGAGTGCAGGTATGGATAATGGGCTGCAACAAAGAAGAAATTTTGAAAGATAGAACACTATCAGTAGTGACTAAGATTGTGTTTCAAGTACCATATTTGAAATTTGTTTTGTTGCATTGTTTTACTTACTGATAGGTCTGATTGCAGATGTACATTATTGCTTTGATAACAGATCTTACTGTTTATATTTGCTGTTCTTAATTTTTATCCTGTATCTATCTACCCGCTCATCAGCAGTGTGCATTTTGAGTTTTACAAGTTTTAAATACGGCTTTTGAGAATTGCAAGAAATCATGTAAATTTATATTCAGTGTTATAGAACTATAGTTTGAGAGTATATAAATTGAGAGTTCTACTTGAACCTTTAAAATGACATCAGTATTGCTATTTTAAGTATAGCTTACAAGATAGTGAGCCATCTTTGTTGCTGCTACTGTTTTTTATTTTTATTGGTACATTTGCATGCAAGAAGATTATATTCCTCAGAGGGAGTTGGATTGCTACTATTCTTAAGAGATTTCTCACTAGTGATTAGTGCTACTCTTGTTACTATAAACAAAGACTATTATAACAGTGTTTGTGTGCTAAATGATTTCTGTGTTTAAGATATATAAATGTGTTACTCAGCTTTTTATCACTGAGACTAAAAACAAAGGAGGAAAGGTTTATTTTGGCTCATGATTTCAGAGGCTTCAGTCACTAGTCAACTGGCTCTATTACTTTAAGGCCTGTGATGAGGCAGAAACATGGGTGGAAGGAAATCTGCTTACTTTATAGCAGCCAGGAAGAGAGCATGAGAGAGCCAGAGAGGAGGGGGCTGGGGACTAGATATAATACTAGAGACAAGCTCCCATGTTTTCAACCTGTGATTTCCATCACTTCTCAAAAATGTCACCAAGTTATGATTGCATCAGTGGATTAATCCACTTAATGAAGAGATGGAGCCCTCATGATCCAGTTACTATTTCCTAAAGTCCCACCTTTGAACACATGAGCCTTTTGGAGGACATTTTAAATCTGAACCATAACAGTAGGTAATGGCTTTCTGATATCACAACTCCTCAACACCCCTCTGCCTATGTGCTGTACATGGATTGAACCAGGGATAAAATCTCACCTCCTACCCCATGTTTTATTTTTCTTTTCTGAAATCAATGCAGAATCACTTGTTTCATTTTTTAGCTTAATTCTGAAAATAATCAGTTTCTACTATGTGTTCTATTTTAGGTGGAACACAAAGTTCCACACAGTTACATTCTTTCAAAAAGAATTAAAAGATGGCAATAATTTTTAAACCTTTGAAAAAGTTTGAAAAAGTTTAAACCTTGAAAGGAATTATATCAATTGTTTTACCCTTTTTAAATTATGAGGAATCAAACATATAGCTCTGTGATTTATTATAAAGCAAAAGACCTATACTATGTTCATCACCCAGCTAAATAAATAGAATATTACCAGCAACCCAAAAGCCTCCATCTTCCCTACCTTTAGTTTTCCTTGAGTTTCACTGTGACATTTTCATGCATTGAATATACTGTGTGTTGATTATGTCCATTCTTTCTTCTATCCCCTTGACACCCTTCCTTGCTCCTTTCCAATCCCTAATTTTTGTCACTGTTCTACTTTCAAGTTTTAGTTTTTATTTTTTGCACATATGAGAGAAAATTTAAAATACTTGTCTTTCTATTTATAGTTTATTTTCCTTCACAGTTCTATCTGATTTCCTGGAAATGACAGGATTTCACTTTTCTTTATGGCTCAATAATATTCTATACCATATTTTCTCTATCCATCTGTTAGACACTTAGGCCGATTTTCAATCTTGGCTATCATCAATAGTGCCATAATAAATATGAGTATACAAGTATCTACCATATACTGGCTTCATTTCCTTTGGATGTCTACCTAGGAGTGGTATAGACAGATCATAGAGTATTTTTAGTTTTTTTTCATAGTTGTTATAATTGTCCCTTTTTGTTACTTCTCACCACCTAAGCACATATTCCTAAATATTGTAGTTTAATTTTTTTATTTTTTGACCTTTATTTAAAAGAACTGGTGTGTTCAGCTTATGTTCTTTTGTTTATGGAGTTTTTTCATTCAGCATTGTTTATGAGATTCATTTAAGTTGTTTTGTTTTCATATCTATACATAAGTGTATATTATAATTCTAAATGGCAGCTGGGCATGGTGGCGCACGCCTGTAATCCCAGCACTCAGGAGGCTGAGGCAGGAGGATCACTGTGAGTTTGAGACCAGCCTGGGCTACATAGTAAGTTCCAGGTCAGTCTCAACTAGTGAGACCCTGTCTCAAAAAAATAAATAAATAAATAAATAACAATAATAATAATTCTAAATGACTGGTTTACAGTAGTGTTTCTTTATGGCATTCTGAAAGGTATTGTTATGTGGCAAGTAGATACCATTTATTTTACTGTTGATGGACGTCTACCATATCATTCAGACTTTGGCTATTATTGGTAATGATACTTGGAAATTTTCATGTGCATGCCTCTTAATGCACGCATATAGCAGTTTTAGTTGTGTAACGTCTGAAATGGCATTGTTGGGTATATATCATTGGGTATAAATATATTCAATTTTGGTAGAAATTGACAGAATTTTCCACAGTTATTGCATCAATTCACATCCCAACAACAAAGTACAGTACAATAGTTTACATTGTTCTGCCTTCTTGTGAACACTTGATATTGTCAGTCTTTTAGTTTTAACTTTACAGGTGTGTAATAGTATCTCACTGGAGTTTTAACTTCTCTTTCCCTCATGACTAATAAGATTAATAGTGTCTCTTCTGAAGTGTAAACCAATTTATATATAGGCTTGACTGTCCTTTTTACTGATTCATACAAATTCCTCATATGTTCTAAATGTGAATTTTTTTCCAGTATATTTATTACATGTATATTCTACTCTGTGGGTTAGCTTTACTCTCTTTACTCTCTTAAGCTTTACTCTCTTAAGTTTTGACAAATGGAAAATTTAACTTTTAATATAATTAAATTAATTCATAGATACTGTGTTCTTGTTCCATTTAAAAAGTACTTCCTAATGTAAAATCTTTCTTACAAGTTAACTTAAACATAGAAGTTTAGTTGTTTTTCCTTTACATTTAATTTAGATCTATAAGCCCCTGGAATGAGTTTTTTATGAATCTGTTTGCTTAAATGATTTTTTCTTATATCAACATTTAGTTGTCTTAACATATTAGTGAAAATATGCTGTGTGAGGCCACCTTGATTATAAATCGGGTGTCCATACAACCAGTATCTCTTGCAGGGCCTATTATTCTGTTCTGTTGATCTATTTCTCTATAATTCTGCCAATTTTCTGTTCTTAATGCTCAGTAAAGCAAACCTTTTGACTTTTCTTTTTTTTTCTTTTTTGCTAAAGATTATCTTTTTGTTTATTCTTGGTCCTTACTGTTTCTGTATAAATATTTTCTGTTCATGTGTCACTTGATTTCCAACTTAATTGCATTGTTGTAAGAAAATATCCTTAGTGTGAGTTCAGTCCTTTTATTTTTAAAAGCCACTCAGTGTTTTTCAGCACATGGTCTATTTTTATGTTTATAAATGTTTAGTGTCTTGTTGAAATTCAAACAGTTATTTTTCATTTAAAAAATGTTTTGTATGTAAGTAGAAAAACAAGAAGAAACTCAGATCACAAAATATAGAAGTGTCTTGGGGCAAAGAAAAGTGCCAACGGTTTATAAGACTGCCTTAAGAGCAGAGTTCCTGTCTGTCTTGCATAGTACATCACACAGTAAGAACTCTATAAATGCATGCTAATTTTATTTAGATATTAAAGGCATGTAATTTAATGTGACTTGAAGCAAAATTTTCTCCTTTGCCTTGAGTGTACTACCTACCTGTTTGCTAATAACTCCAAGAAAAGAATATAAAATATTACAAATACTTGCTTTTCAGGATCTGCCCGGGCATCTTTTGGAGATAGAAAAACAGAACTTTCCAGTCTATCCCAGCATGGACCCAGCTATGATGTATATAACCCATTCTACATGTATCAGCACTTTTCACCTGATTTGAGTCGGAAACGTTTTCCTCCTCATTCAGAAGCAACAAGACTATATGGATCAGGTATGAAAATTAAGTTTTTGTACTTTTTCCCTGTTTCTCTTTTAAAATTTAGGAATCAAATTAAGACACTGGCAGAAATTATTCTTATTATTAAAAACAATTTTAAAATAAGCAAAATAAACCTTTATAAATGTTTTGACAATTATGGCTTTTGTGTTATGATTAATATAAAAATTGAAAAACTAATGCATTATGTCTGTTCATAGTTCATAATTCTATTTAACTTCCTTTTTTGAAAGTTTTGTTTTTGAGTTGTTTTGTATACATTTTATATATCATCAAACCCATAAACTACAAGAGATAATTATGAACTTTTTTTCTTTTCTAGTCATTTAAAATAAAGTTAAAAAGTCATGATGTGATTAGAAATATAAGAAAATGCTTAAGTAATTATAGAATGTTTTAGCCTCATATTTGAAACTATCAGTGACAGACTATTATGTCCATGTCTGCTTCATAAAATTCTCACTTTTCAGGATGAGGTACTAAAAACAAAAAAGAAATAGTTGTTTAAGGGTCTGCCTTGTGCCTTGTGCTTAAGAGGTACACTAGAAATACCAGGAGTACATGGGATTCTGAATTAATTTTTTTAATGTGAGAAATGCTTATAAAATAAGTCACATTACATTTAGCACAGAGTACTCACAAATCTCTTAGTTTATTTTTAGAAAGATTGGAAAATATAAGCAAAAAAATATTTTCAATATTTGATGTGCATGTGAAAATGTGTTTGATTTCTGTTGACTTCAGTTTAAATAAAGTAAAATAATTGAAAAAGAAATATTTTAGGTGTCACCATAGGTGATTTCTTATGTAGATTTGCACATAATGTTCATGATGTATTTACTGTAAGGATTTAGATTATAGTAAATGAGTAAGATTCCAGTGTTTTGTTTTCCTTACTAGAAGTACTTTTTTCTTTTCCCTTTGTAGTTTGTGATTTAAGAGCCAGCAAACTACCTGGTTCCCCTGGGCTGAGCAAGTCTATGTTTGATCTTACAAGTTCATCTCAACGATTCATCCAGGTAGTTATATAAATTTAATTAAATGAGACAGTATTTTTTTTTCAAATTAAAACTTCAGGAATGCCTAAATTCCCTTAGGAATACCATCGTGTACATTTTTGTAGATGTACAGATATCTATTCTAATACCTAACAATAAATACTTATCATTTGCTATATGCATTATTTTAGGAAGGCCTCAGTTGACTAATAAAAGGCAATATTTTTCTTTTTCTTTGCATGATTTTTATATCTCAGTATGCACTTACAGAAGCTTGGGATTTAAAATAGTACAGTGTAGTAGTTGGAAGCCTATTAATTTAACTTTCCTGAACATAACCAACTGGTTATTAAACAGTAGTATTTCTGTTGAGATGTAGGGCTTTGATTTGCTGATATTAACATAGTATGCTGTTGTTGAGAATTTTTTGATACTTTAAAAATCTTTCATTTTTAGTGCAGATAAATTGTGACTGTTTAAAATTGGGAAATTGAAATAAGCAACATAAAAAGATAAATCATCTGTTTTCCTGCATGTGAATGTAAAAATACTGTGAAAATGTTTTTAAATATACTTGTGGACTTCTTTCCCTGTGAATATATATATATATACATAGCTCTGGCAAGTTAATGTTTTGCAGACTTAATTATTTATAACAATAGTTATTTAACATGTGTCAGAAATGTTTGAGAGCTTGTTAAAATATGATTGCCAGGCCTTACCCCCAAAGTTTTTGTGGGGCCTGAATTTTTATTTCTACCCAGTTCCTATGTGTTGTTGACATTGCTGTCTGAAGGACCATGTTTTCATAATGCTGTTTTACATACCTGTAAGTAGCTGGCTACTTCCAAATATATTTTTGTTTTTTATTAATGTTTTTAACTATGAAACTTAAGAAGTAATCTATTGTAAAACCAAATCCCAAAACAGCAAAGGCTTTCCAATATATTATCTAGTAAGATATTTAAAATTTTCCTATAATATACACAGAAAGTTTTTTTCCCATTTATTTTTTAAAAGTGGGGAGTTCTGGATTGGGAGTGGTGGCGCACACCTGTAATCCCAGCACTGGAGAGGTTGAGGCAGGAGGATCGCTGTGAGTTCGAGACCAGCCTGGGCTGCATAGTGAGTTCCAGGTCAATCTCAACTACGTAGTGAAACCCTGTCTCAAAAACTAAAAAAAAAAAAAAATTGAGGAGTGCTGACCAGTAACACAATCAAAATATCAGAATCCTTTAGATTTTATATGCAATTCCTGACTAAAGAAGAATTTTATTTGTAGAGACATGATTCATGGTCCAGTGTACCCAGTAGTTCTTCTTCAAGAAAAAATTCTCAGGGGAGTAACAGAAGCCTAGGTAAGGAATGAAGTGTACCATTTTATACTTTTAAGAGAATTCTTTCATTAGTAGGCTGAAAGTATATATAAGTAGATATTTTAAATTATGCCTGATTATATCTATGTTGGCAGTACTGTTAACATATGGATACTCAGATCAGAAGGTCTTGGTGTTTAGACATGAATGAATTTTTTAAAAGTTGAAACTATTCTATATCTTTTGTTTGTTTTAAAATAGATGAACAAAGGAACTCTCAGAAGCATTCAGTACTAAAACCTTCTAAGTGTTATTTGGGAAGATTTTTCAGCTTTCAATCCCTCACACTGGAATTTGGTTTTTAGTTGTGTGCTTTTTATAGTACACTTTCCTCCTAGAACTTCAATAAGAACATAGATTTTTCTTATAAAATTGGGAACTTTAAGAATTAATTACAATATTTTTAAATCATGCCTTTAAAATTGGATTGTGTCAAAATTTAATTGGGTTAGAAACATTACATAGAATTTTAAACATCTTTATCCTTTTACAATTCAGACACGATTACTCTATCAGGAGATGAAAGAGATTTTGGGAGATTGAATGTGAAATTGTTTTATAATTCTTCAGTAGAGCAGATCTGGATCACAGTTTTACAGGTAAATTACTGTAGTTAATATTTATTACAAATTGCGTATTTAGATGTTTTAAGTATGTAGTATTGCCTTCTCCTGGGGGGCCAATATTGTCTTTGGAATTTAAGATTCTATAGTATTTTGCAGAAAAAAGTGTTTAATAAAGTATTTAAGAAAACAAATCTGTCAGTCATGGTGGTATACTCCTGTAATCCCGGCTACTTGGGAGACTGAGGTAGAGGATCACAAGTTGGAGGTCAGCCTGAACAGCTTCGTGAAACCCTATCTCAATAAATAAAATAAAGTATTGGAATGTACAGTGGTACAGCACTTATCTTCCTATGTAAAGTGCTCTGGGTTCAAACCCCAGTACTAAAAGAAGAGAAAGAAATCTGTGGTATGATGGAAATATGTATGTTTTTAACTTCTTTTCTTGAAGGAGGTTGAAGCAGGAGAAACACCAAGAGTTTAAGGCCAGCCTGAGCTACATAGTGATTTCAAGGCCAGCCTGAACTACATAGTGAGACTCTTGACTCTAAAAAACCAAAAAATTAAATAAAAAGAATGAGATAAAGAAATCGATATAATAAGATTACTGACATTTAGAAATGGGAAGAAAGGAGCTAAAGGTGTAGGGAAGGTGGGATGGGTAGGGGAAGGGTAATAAGGGAAAAGAAAAAAATGTGAGATAATGAAAAGATGAAAATAACGTGTTTGTAGATGGGGAGGGGAGGAGGGGGTGAGGGAGGGCAAGGGTAAGGGGGAAAAAATGAGAATCAAGACTTGTCATGTAGAGGTACAAGATCCCAACAATGAATGTAACTGTACTGTATCCCTAAAATGTACCAATAAACTCAATTAAAGCTGGAAAAAAAAAGCAATCGATATAACATCTAGAATATTTAATGTGGATAAAACATGGTGTCATATACTAAAGTTTATTTTTAAATTTTTTAATTAATTTTATTGGTACATTTAAGGTACACAATGTAATGACATTCATCATTGGAAATTTGCACCTTTGCTTAATCCATTTTAGTTCTTATTTTTCCCCATTCCCCTGCCCTCCCTTCAACCCCTCCACCCCTCCCTATCTACAAAGACTTTGTTTCCATTTTATATTTTTCTCATGCTGATTCCTTTCCCATCTTTCTTTTCCCCTACTCCTCCCCCTTTCCCTTGCACTTTGCACCTTTTCTTCCTATTTCACATTATCTATTATACCTTTTAATCTGTATTTATACTTTCAGTTTCTCACACTAGGGAAACCGGTATTTACACGTCTGTCCTATTTAGTTCACTTAAGAGAAGTAATTAGTTCAATAAATGTGTAAAATATTTGCAGAGTCCATTGTCATGTTCAAACTTTGCTTTTATTCTTTTTTAGTGCAGAGATTTAAATTGGCCCTCTACTTATGGAGACACTCCCACTATTTCCATAAAAGGAATACTAACATTACCCAAACCAGTGCATTTCAAATCTTCACCAAAGGAAGGTTCCAATGTAAGTGGCCGTTTGTGTTTGAATTTCTTTTCTGTTTTTTTTTTTTTCATATCTGTCACTTTTATCAATGTAAAGAATGAGAATAAGAAAGTGTTTTGTTTTGGAGAAACTAAAATTTATGAAAATAATGCTTAGGAAGAATTTTTAAGGATGTGGAAAAGTGTTCTTAGTAGAATAAAGAGTAATCAAAAAATTGGGGTATGAATATGTATGTGTATATATCAGGATCTCACTTGGTGAAAATATTCATCATTGAAAGGCTACATAGCTTTTGTAGATAGGAAGGACACCAATAGTTGCAGAGAGACTAAGGAGGGGTAGGGGTTTAACAAAAGAATAAGAGGGTTGGGGATTTAGCTTAGTGGTTCTACCACCTGCTTCAAAAGTGCAAGGTCCTGAGTTCGACCAAAAAAAAAAAAAAAGGAAGAATTGAGATGTATTTTGTACCAAATCCCCACAATAAATGTAATCATTGTATAATGTGAAGATGTACTAATAAATTTTTAAAAAGAAAGTCTGCATGGAAATAAATCTTAACTCTGGTTACAATCCTAACACTCAAGGATGAATACTTTCCAAATTAAACAATTTAAGATTTAGTCTTCAAGTATAACTAAGTTATGAAAAATATTCTTATATTAAAACCTATATAGAGTCTTTTGTTTTTAAAATGTATTTTCATATATCAGGTTGTTTGAGAGATATCTATTATGGCAAAATGTGGAAAATGTGAAGTAAACCAGCACACTTGCTTAATTTGTAAGCTTGTTAAACATTTTATGTATAATATATTATTAGTGCTATCTGATGGTTTGAGTGTCTACAAAAGAAAGATATCTTAGTGAATGGAAGGCTGTTAGAAACACAATTCTGACTTATAAATATGAGTGATTATATATAATAAGAGTAAAATTTGAGACACAGTATCCAAAATATTTGTCAGTTGCCCAGATATCTTACCTTTTCAAAGGACATGCTAAACATGGTTATAAGGGAGTATATAGCAAAGAACAGTCTGGTCTGGTCTCCATTAAAAGAAAATTCTGGTCTCAATATGAAAAGTTAATCTAGTTATTGACTGCTCTCTTACATGTGATTTCTTAAACCATTCTCAACTATTGAAGAATGTGGTAAGTGGCAGGAAAAATGCTCTAAAACCAAAGATGTAAAACTTCTAATTTTTGAAAAGGAAAAGGCTATATTCTGGCGGGCTTGAAAATTCCTAAGTAATTAAAAAGATTATTTATGAGGTAAAGGAATGTAGTATTCAAGATAAACTGAAAAACAAGTTTTGGCCCTTCTCATTTTCATTTACCTTAAAAATATTTTTGTCATTGTAAAAAATTTTTCCTAGATGTAAAATAAAATATTACTTTGAAAGATATGTCAACTTTTCTTTTCAGTCCTCTTATTTATATATTTTATATATTATATTTTTAAGGCTATTGAATTTATGGAAACTTTTGTATTTGCTATTAAACTGCAACATCTACAAACTGTAAGGCTTGTATTTAAGATTCAAACCCAGACTCCCAAGAAGAAAACCATTGGAGCATGCTCTCTATCACTTAGAACTCTTAGCACACAGGAAATGGATTACTCTTTGGATATAATACCATCTTCAAAAATTTCTGTAAGTGATAATAGTATGATATGTTAAAAGTATTTCATACTTTTAGAATGGTTTAATGGATTGTTTTTTGTCTGTTGGAGGATAAGAATATAAGATAATCAAGAGGATCAAGAAGTTCCTCAAAAAGCAATAATATCACTTAAAATATTTTAGAAATAATCTGTTGTTTCATTATTTTGTTTTGAGACTAGGTCTTGTTACATAGTTCAGGCTGACCTTAAACTCACTGTTTCATTGGTAGCAATCCTATAGCACATGTGTTGCAGTGGGTTGTTTGTTATCACTGAAAGCTCTAAAAGGTTTGGAATCACTGTACTATGTGGTCCAGACTGGCCTTGAACTCATGTTGATCTTCCTGCCTCAGCCTCTCTCTAGTGCTGAGATTATAGGCATGTACCACCATGCCTAGTGGAAATAATTGACAAAACTTAACATACCATTTTTCTTTCTCCATTGGTAAATAACCTTGGGTATGCTAAGTCTTAGTAAGATTTCTGAATGTTATGGTCTTTCCTTATTCTCATTCTTATTCCTTTAAATTCATGAACAATTATGTTTCTTTATTTGGTCAGTTTTATGTTTCTCTTATTTTTCACTCTGGGGGTCTTGGAATCCACATAAGTACACTGGTTTATGTTATATTTCACAGACAGATTTACCAATTGTCTTTTGTTGATGACCAGCAATACCAACAAGCATATTTTCATTTTTCTCCTTCTCTAAGGCTCCTTCATTTTACTGTTTGCCTCAGGTTTTCTTTGACCTTTTCTTTATTATTTACTGCCTCATCACTTTAACTAGCTTCCTCCCTGCCAGCTTTCTTTGGCCTGTTTCCATTCAGAGTTAGTAATTCAACTCTTAATCCACAAATCTATTTATTTTAGGAATCTTTTGTCTTTTAATTTAGGTAATACCTACTCTGATTTCTAAAATTAGAAAAATAATCTCATATATCCTTTTAAATTATATTTCGCTTATTCTTAAAAATAATGTGACTACATGCAGTTCTTTTAAAAGTACAGTGTATTCCTTTTGGTTAATTTTACTGGCAATTTCTTCAGTAATACTACTTAGGAATTTAATTTGTTTTTAAGTTAAATTGTCTTTTTATTTTTTTTAAAGTTCAGTATGTAGATATAACTTGTAGTTTCCATGCAAGTTAATACCTTCAATTTAAAGAATTCATGACATTTATCTTCATAACTTTCTTATAACTTATGACTATAAATACCAATAGAAAATAATGCTTTCAATTTTTGCAGCTGTAGCTCCTTATATTTAAATTTTTAAAATATTTCTAAAGCTTATTATTATTACTTAATGGCTTTTTTTAATATATAGGTTTGCCATGCAGAACTTGAACTGGGGACCTGTTTTCAAGCAGTAAATAGCAGGATTCAGCTGCAAATTCTTGAGGCACAGTATCTTCCAAGCTCAACACCTCTGACTTTGAGTAAGTATATCAGTTGTTCAAAGTGCATCAAATACAGAGAGAGATTACAATTAGATGAGCATCAAGAGATCAGTGGATTAAAATCTTCACTCAATAAACAACCAGGAGTCATGATATTTTAGTTGCTAGACCTGGTTCACTTGGCTACCCCTAGATATGGAGGTCTAAGGTCAGCCCTACCTCAAGGGCCAAGAGGAGGGTAAGAGTGCTCTTTCCTTTTTCTACCGGAGGACAGGAACTATCCGGAGCCAGTAAGAGCAACAGATGTCCACTATAGCTAGAAAGACTAAAAATAAATGAAATTGGGCATTAAACTCAGGAATATAGAAAAATAGCAAAATAAAAGATAGATAATAGGCAATAGGGAGATCTTTTTCAAAGGGGAAGGGGAATAAGAGAGGAAGGAAGGGATGAGGGAGGGAAGGGAAAACAGGTTGATAAAAAAGAACTGAAAAAGAAAAAATGGAAACAGGTTTTGCAAATGGGAAACAATCCATGAGGTGGAAGGAGAGGGGAGAGATGGAAAAGGTAGGGAATGAATAAAGAATTTAAGATGTGTTATGTACATGTACCAACTCCCCACTATAAATGTAATCATTATGTATTACAAACATGTATGATAAAAAAATTTTAAAAACAGAAGAAAAAAAAAGAGATTAAAGCTAAGTTGAAGTTGATTAATACAAAGATAATACCAAAACCTTTTTCTCTGAAAGGATTATTAGATAAATCTAGCTGGTTGCATGAAGCAAAAAGTAAGGAAGAAAACGAATGATATTCTGAACAAAGAAGAGGATATAATTTCAAATTCAGAAGACATTTGATAATAAATGACAGTCTCATGTAAAGTGTAATTATACTAATTGGCTTGGATATCCATATAAAAGAAATGACTTTCTGAGAAATTAACTCAAAAAGAAGAAATCCGAAACGAATACCAGTTAGCAAACTGCCTCTAATAAAAACCACTGAGCCAAGATAATTTTACTAGAAGATTCTACCAAACTCTGAAGAATATATAATTCCTGTTCTGTATAACCTTTTAAAGAACAGCCAGGATTGAGCTCAGTGGCACCGTGCCTGCCTCATAAGCGCAAGGTGCTCAGTTTGATCCCCAGTACTAAAATAATAATAATAATAAATAAAAAACATGCAAAACATAATTCTCTGAGTTTAACCTATTCTTTTTCATTACTGGGGATTGAACTTCAGACCTTGCACTTGCGAGGCAGGTAGTGGAACCACTGAGCTAAATTCCTGGCCCCAGGTTAACATATTCTTGATATCAAAGTAGAATGAATATCACACTAAAAAAGTAACTACAGAAAGGTATCACTTAATGTAGGGTAGAGAAAAAAATCCTAAAATAAAAGTATTAGCACTTTCTTGTGCTATAGGCATCATGTGTCAGCCTAGGAAGGTTGTGTGTGTGTGTGTGTGTGTGTGTGTGTGTGTGTGTTCTATTCATATTCATATTTATTCATTCTAAAATCTACTTGTGCAGTATTGGATACCAAAACAATGCTTCTCTTGTTGTCTTGTGTATGGTAAGCAAGCAGTCTACACTGAACTACACCCCTGGCTCAGATGTCTCATAACTTTTAGATATATCAGTGTGAATTTCCTCTAATGCAGTTTGTAACTTTTAAGAGTTGACGCCCCTCCACTTTTTTTTTCCTGACTTTGTTTAGTCTTTGGTGTAGGTATATTTTTCTTGATGCTTATTATTATTATTTATGGGAAGGATAGTTCATACAAACTCTTGTACCATTGTTGGAAGCTCTGCATATCAAGCCTAAAGAATAGATTTTTTTTCTAACAGATATATACTTAACTGAAGTCTCAAGCAAATAATTTTTCAAATATAAAATTTTGAAATAAATACTCTCAATTTCCAATGAGTTGGACCTCTCTTATGTATAATTCTTTTTAGCATGTACTCTTTTGCTGCCAAATGTTATTTATACCTACAATTCTGTGTTGTTCAAACTAGAGGCAGATTAAATTCGTTTGAGGCTATAGTAATCATCTGTAAAGTGTGGTAAAGGTTACGAAGTTGTCTAGAGGTGTTTTCAGATATCAGTAGGTCTTTAAACCTTTAAAAGGTTTATTTATATTTTTTATACAAAACACAACATGTAGATGTATACTTTTATGAAAATTTTTAAAATCAGGTTTTCTTGTTTCATAGGTTTTTTTGTGAAGGTGGGAATGTTTAGCTCAGGAGAGTTGATTTATAAGAAGAAGACACGCTTACTGAAGGCCTCCAATGGAAGAGTAAAGTGGGGAGAAACTATGATTTTTCCACTTATACAGAATGAGAAAGATATTGTTTTTCTCTTTAAGCTTTATGGTCGAAGTTCTGTCAGAAGAAAACAATTTGTGGGCCAGGTTAGTAGGGGGTTTTGTCTTGAATTTCTTCCTTTTATTTTCCTATACTTTTAAGCAGTTAAAGGCAATGCAATATAAAGTTAAAGTTGAATAGAGTAAGATTCTTCAGCATAAATGAAGTGTTATGCCACAAAAATCAAATTTTGTTCAATTTTTTTCTTTAATAAAAGGAAATGGGGGCTGGGGATTTGACTCAGTGGCTCTGTCACCTACTTTGCAAGCTCAAGGTCTCTAGTTTGATCCCCAGTACCAACCACAAAAAAATACAAGAAGATGGAATTTCTGAGTGAACAGACTTAACATTAAGCTGTTTTCTAAGCTAGTCATCTTTAAAAACTTAGGTTTTTCTTAGGTTTTCAGTATTACTGATTCCTTTGTGGAAAGGGAGAACATTAAGTCAAACTTTTTAAGATTTTGGCTATCAAATTTAGTTTGTTTCACTTCAATTTAATGTTTAACATGAATACTTTTTATATACTGTTAACTGAATTATGTTAAATTTGAATCCTAGAAAACATTAATTTTTAGAAAGATTGAGATAGTCAATTCTGGTACTTCAATTAATCTATTTAAAAATTACTATTAATTAGTATGTGACAGTATAACATAGGCTTACTTTCCAATCCTGTAGGAACTTGTCCCCCTTTTTAATTTTTTTCCTTATTCTCAGTAGAATAATGTGGCAGGTGACCATTATCTTTTATCTTTGTTTGAGCCACATTTAAATTCTGAAATCTACATTATTGGTTTAAAAGCTTCGGCTTGACAATATGATGTTACTAACAGTCTACATAAAATCCTCAAATTACACACACACACACACACACACACACACATATGAATTTTCAAAGATTGATGTCAACTTCTTTGACTCACTTATTCATATAATTTACCTAAATTATTAATTTTAAATGTTGTAGTTTTGTTTCTGCATTTATTCTTATTTAGAAAAGAGTTTGAATTAAAGAATTTCATGTAATTAGCATACTTCTTATAACCAGGAGCCTAGGAAGTCAAATAAAGTTTTTCTGTAACATCAAACTCAGCTATCACATATGATTGGAACAGGAAATTTACTTAAAAGATGATTTTTTGGCTAACAATTCTGAAAAGGTTCTTGATTGTTGTCTGTTCCCTATAGCTTCTCTGATAGCCTAAGGTGTTATCTTGGTAGCATAACCTCATGAGAACTCAAGTTCTCCCTCTCCTTTGTCAACCAAAACACTCTAATGTTATCCATTTCGTGTATTGTGGTTTTTTGTAAGATACTGTTTGAAGGAAAGTTTCTTTATACCAGGAATGAAAAGGAAAAAGTTTGAAAACCAATGACCTACTCTAATTTTCTTTACTTAAAAGAATTAGAAACTGAGTCTCCAGAGAATTTAATGTCAACATAATAGCCTATGTTAGTGATAGACCTAAGGTAAGAATTTGGATTATTTGATTCCTTGTCAATCTTGTCTCCCTGACATGTTACCACCATGATATGTAATCATGCATAACATTATATAGTTTTCCCACTCATTTACATGTATTTACTAAAGTTATATATGAAATAAGCACTATGAAATTACTATGAATAAAGAGTGACTGTTAAATTTCAGTTAAGACAGTTTTATATAATGTAAAATGTGCTTAAATGCATCTTATTTACTAATTTAAATCATTAACCTCAGTTTAATCTCTACAGACCACTCTTTTTGAGTGGTTAGGATCAATTTTAAATTTAATTCCTATGTTGAATAAAAAAGACTCATAACGGTATCAGGGGAAATGATTTTGTAATATCCCACCTTGAATTTTTTAATTGAATAAGACTGTATAAAAGAGCCTATAGAATACCTAAACAGGTTCAATGTTTTAAAATTTAAGCATCAGATGGAGGAGTTAACCTACCTTTTGGAAAGCTAGTAAGGTATTTACTGAAAAATATATATATCAAACTTTGAAATATCTTTTATTAGAAAGAATAATGAAGTGTTTGGAATGAGTTATCATTATTGTGTTAAATGATTATATTGTTCCTTTACAGGTTTGGATAAGCGAAGACAGTAATAGCATTGAAGCAGTGAACCAATGGAAAGAGACAATTACAAATCCTGAAAAGGTTGTTACCAAGTGGCACAAATTAAATCCATCTTGACTTTACACATCAATTTCATGAAAAAACAACTTGATATTCTATTAGAAGACATATAATTTCAATTTGCTAAAAAGTGTAATGAATTTTGTCAGATATCCAAAGTGAAGGAATTCTTTAAAACAGTGTCCAAATATAATAAAATCATAGTATTAAAAAGTCTATGAGAATATCATCTGTAGATGGGTATTTCTATATTATGTTTTTGGGTTTTTTTAAGCTTTACCTGGATATCAAAAATCTAGTATATCAAATTCCTATTAGCACTCTTAGACATTTAAAAGACTTTCCCATTATTCTAGTACTAAGAATTATTGATTAGATCTTGATTCCAATGTTCATCTCTTCCTTATAGTTTGTCTTGGCAAAAATGAATTGAACCATTTCAACTATAGTATTTTCTATATTTAGGGAAAATTTTTGCTCTGTGTGTATAATTTCTTATCTATATGGCATTATATTGACATTTTGTAAGTGACTTATTGCCAAGAAACAAGAAATAGAAAACTACACTTAGGAAAGAATAAATGAAAGCACCAGAAGGCTGAAGTTTAATTTGAGAACTGAAATGTGCATAATTTACTATTTCCTCCTTCAGACATTTTACTTTGTTTCATTTGGTGTTCAAATAAAAAAATAATCCGTATGGTCCATCCTAATTAGCAGAATTAAATGAGTTTAACTAGCAAATTTAGCATTTATGATAATCACATCCTTATTTTAGTTTTTAAATATAAATTATTCCATAATCTATAATGTTAGAGCATTTTTATGTTTTTTAATAACCATACCTAATGATGTTATATAACAAATAAGTATTTCCTTCAGGTTTCTTTCAGGTTTATATTAAAAATTAATATATGGATATAAATTCAGCTTATTTGGCCATAAGAGCTGTGGCCAAAAAGAATGGTTTCTTTGAGAAACAAATAACACTATCCCAAATCTTGGAAAACTTTACTTTCTCTTGGCTAATAAGTATGCCACAGACTCTGTGTCCTTGGTCTTCCATTTTTTCTTTCTTACGTAGTCCTTCAAATGCCAAGAGATGGATAATGACATTTTAGGCCAGAAGTGTATCCTGCTATAATGGAAGCATTCCTTTTTTATTCCAAGTCCTTTGTTCTATTTATCTCATTAAAAATCTTTGCAAATAAATATTTATCTATTGCAATCAAGATTCCAGAAATTCAGCACAAAAACAGAATATTAAAACCTGTTAGAGTAAAGAAACAAATCACCTATAAAAGAATGCCGGTCAGAATTACATCAGACTCCTCAACACAAACCCTTAAGTCAAGGAGAGCCTGGAGTGAAGTATTTCCAGCCCTAAAAGAAAACAAACTCCAACTCAAACTGATGAACCCCATAAAGCTATCTTTCAAAATTGATGGAGAGCCAGGCGTTGGTGGTGCATGCCTGTAATCCCAGCACCAAGGAGGATGAGGCAGGAGGATCACTGTGAGTTCAAGACCAGCCTGGGCTACATAGTGAGTTCCAGGTCAGTCTCTACATAGTGAGATCCTGTCTCAAAAAATGAATAAATAAATAAATAAATAACCAAAATCAATGGAGAAATAACATATTTCCATGACAAAGAACACCTAAAGAAATTCATGTCCACCAAACAAGTACCCCAACATGTTTTGAATGACATTTTAGAAAGACATAACAAAGACCTCAACTCCATGAATTCCAACAGAATGAACCCACCAGACAAGGCAAGTATTTAAACAGGAGAAAGAAAGGAGACCAACAACAGGAAATTAACATGACAAGGATGTCAATACATTTCAATTATCATCAATATAAATGGTCTCAGTTCACCAATCAAAAGAAACAGACTACCAGAATGGATCAAGAAACAAGATCCAGCAATATGCTACATACAAGAAACACATTTAACTCAAAAAAGAAATTCATAAAGGATGGAAAACAATATTCCATGTGACAGGAACCCAGAAAAAAGCAGATATAGCTATTCTATTTGAAGAAAAAGTGGTCTTCAAGCCAAGACTGACCAAAAGACACAAGGTTACTATATGCTTGTTAAGGGAACAATCCAGGGGCCGGGGATTTAGCTCAGTGGTTCAGTGGCCTGCCTTGCAAGGACCTGAGTTCAATCCCCGGTTCCCCCCCCAAAAAAAGGGAACAATCCAAGAGGAAAAGATAGAAATCATAAATGTAAGCATACTGTACCAGATACCACTGCACCCAACTATATAAAGCAAATATAACAGACATGAAAAATCAAATAAGCACTAATACAATTATAATGGGGAACGTCAATACCCCACTGTCACAATAGGTGGATCAACTAGAAAGAAAATAACGAAATACTAGAACTCAAACTCTTGAACAAATGAACTTAACATGTTTACAGAGTGTCCCACCTCACGGCATCAGAATACACATTATTCTCAGCTGCATACAGAACATTCTCCAGACTAAGTCACAGACTAGCTCATAGAACATGGTCAAGTAAATGCAAAGGAATTGAAATTATCCCATGCATATTATCAGGCCATAGTGCAATAAAGTTAGAAGTCAATGGCAAAAAGAAACCACAAGAATTTCATAAACACATAGAAATTAACACCCTCCTGGGCAGCCAGTGGGTCACAGATGAAATTAAAGAAGAAATTAGTTTTGAAATTAAATGATAATGCTAATACAACATACCAGAACTTGTGAGACACAAAGCACCCTTATGAGGGAAATATATAGCAGTGATTCCCATATCAGAAAAATAGCTAGCTCAAATAACCTGGTGTTGAACCTCAAGCTTCTAGAAAAAGAAGAGCAAGTCAAGCCCAAAACTCATACAAGGGAGTATAAAGATCAGATCAGAAATTAATGCAATGGAAACTTAGAAAACAAGACAATGAATTAAAGAGTTGGTTCTTCGAAAGATTAAATAAAATTGACAAACTTATCCAACCTTATTAAAAAAGGAAAGAAAAGAATCAAATCCATGTAATTAGGAGTGAAAAGGGTGAAATCTCAACAGATTCTGCAGGAAATCAAATGATTATCAATACCCACTTCAAGAACTTGCACTCTAATCAGATGGAAAACAGAAGAAATGGACAGATTCCTAGATATATATGAATTATCAAAAGTGAATCAAGAAGATATAAAAATTCTAAACTTCAAATCAGTCAATGAAATTAAGAAGTAATTACAAAATCTACACAGAAAAGCATAGACCCTAACAGAATCATTGCTGAATTCCACAAAAAATTTAGAGAAGATGAAATGCCACTACTTCAAACTTTTTAAATGAAATTGAAAGGGAAGCAATACTCCTAAATTCATTTCTGAAAGCAAGCATTACCTTGATTCCAAAACCAGAGAAAGATCCAACCAAAAAAGAGAACTACAAGTATGAACATAGATGAATAAAATCCTCAGTAAGACAATGGCAAACAATGCAGCAAATCATCAAGAAGATTATACACCCTGACCATGTAGGATTCATCCCAGGGATGCAGGGATGGTTCATGGTTCAATATATGGAAATCACCAAATGTACTAACTATATTTAAAGTGCCAAGGATAAAGGCCAGGGATTTAGTTCAGTGATTCCACCATTTGTCTTGCATGCACAAGGTCCTGAGTTCGATCCCAGGAACAAAAAAAAAAAAAAAAAAACTGACAAGGCTAAAAAACATGTTCATCTCAAGAGAAACAAAAAGCAATTGACAAAGTCCAACACCCAGTCATGATAAAAAACCCTACAGGAAATTGGAATGCATAGTCTTTATCTCAATCTGATAAAAACCATCCATGACAAGCCAATAGCCAACATCATACTAAATGTACAAAAACAATCTAAACTCAGGAAGAAGACAAGGACTCCACTGTCACCACTTTTCAATATAAATCTGGAAGCATCCAAAACAATTAGAAAAGAGAAATCAACAAAAAGAATAAGAATAAAAGAAGAGATTAGGACCAGGGATTTTGCTCAGTGGTTCACCACCTGCCTTATAAGCTCAAGGACCCAAGTTCTATACCAAGTACCAAAAAAAAAAAAAAAAAAAAAAAAAAAAACCCAAGAAATTAAACTATCATCATATGCGGATAGCATGGTATTATACATAGAAGACTCCAAAACTCTACCAAAAGACTTGCAGATTAACCAAATTTAGTAGCATAGCTGGATACAAAGTCAACACACAAAAATCAATAGCATTGCTATACACAAACTCACTGAGAGAAATTAGTGAAACAATACCTTTCATAATAGCATAAAAAATAAAATATTTGGGAATCAATCTCACAAAGGAAGTACTGAAAATTACAGTGCTCTGAAAAAGATCATAGGATATCAGAAAATGGAAAGCTATCCCTTGTGGATAGAAAGAGCCAATATAGTGAAAATGGCTATACTCCCAAAATTGTTGTAAGATTTAATGTAATCCCAATCAAAATACTGCTAGCATACCTCACAGAACTACAGAAAACAATCCTAAAATTCATTTGGAATCAGAAGAGATCTAGAATAGCAAAAGCAATTCTGGCTAACAAAGGCAAGGCAGGAAGCATCACAATCCCGGATTTGAAATTACACTAGAATTACAGTGATAAAAACAGCATGGTACTGGAAAAAAGAAAACAGACCCAAGAATCAATGGGGCAAAATGGAAGATATTCAGCTACTTTATCTTTGACAAAGGAGCCAAACATCTTCACTGGAAGAAAGATAGCCTCTTTAATAAATGTTGCTGGAAAAACTGGCTTTCTACATGCCAAAGATTAAAACTGGACCCATATCTTTCAACATGCACTAAACTAAAATAATGGATCAAAAATCTAAATATTAAAATAACACAGTCTGCTGGAAGATAGAATAGGTAGAACTCTTGAAGACACTGGTGTAGGTGAAGTTTTTATGCACGTAATCCCAATTGTACAAGTCACAAAGAATCAACTGGGATCTCATTAAAAAGCTTTTGCACAGCAAAAAAAAAAAAAAAAACAAAAAAAAAAAAAAAAAAAAAACAAAGAAATACTCACAGTGTGGGAAAAAAAATTTTGCCAGTTCCTCAGACAAAGGAGTAATATCTAGAATGCATAAAGAACTAAAAAAAAAAAAAATCAGACATCCCAAATTTAAAGACCCAATCCAAAAATGGGTATCCAAAAGGAACAGATAC